CCAGAGGAGGGACAGTGGTTTGGACATGTCCAGAGGAGGGACAGTGGGTATAGAAGGATGTTAGAAATGCAGCTGCAGGAAAAAGACAGAGGAGACACATGGATGCAGTTAGAGAGGACATGGAGGTAGTTGGAGTGAGGACAGAGGACAGATGGAGGAGGAAGACTCGCTGTGGAGACACCTGAAGAGGGAACAGCCAAAAAAACGATATTCCAATGAAATGTGTCAAATCAGAGATAATTTACCCCCCCACAAAAAAAGAAGCCTTTAGTTTTCATTTAATGAAAAGTTGCATCGTTGACGACAACGTTTCTGCCTGAAACAACAAAATGTAATAAATGACCCGTATAGCTGCAGAGCAGCAGTTTACCCTTGAAAGAAACCAAAAGGTGAAATCGGTGAGGAACAAAAGACTGATCATCTACCTAATGATGACTTTTCAGTGCCTCAGTACTTCAGAACAAACAAACCAACTCACCATCTTCCACATTTTCTTTGCTTAATTGGTTGTTTGTATTTTGACAGTGAAGCCAAAAGAAATAATGCGGTTACTATGAACACAGCTAGTTAAAATATCTGAAGGTTCCAGCAGATGTAATTACACCAACGTCATATTTAACCTTTACACAGAAATCAGGAATAAACAACATCCTCACAGGTTCATATGAAATGATCACTTTTAGACAAATACCATGGTTACAGCATGCAGCTTCATGTAACTTAATCTTATTGTTCCATATTTTCCTAACAGAGCACTTTGCTCTCAGACTGCAGGTTTACTTGTGGTTCCTAGAGTTTCCAGCAGCAGAACGGGAGGAAGATCTTTCAGTTCTCAGGCTCCTCTCTTGTGGAACCAACTTCCAGTTTCTGTCCGTGAGGCTGACACATTGTCCAGTTTTAAGACTTTCCTTTTTGATAAATCCTATAGTTAGAGTTGGCTTGGTTTCCTGAGCCGTCCCTTTGTTTTTCTGCTATAGACTTATACGGCTGGAGGACAAATTGACCACATGTCCTCTCTCTGTTGCTACTTGCTCTACACCAATTATTTCCATCTTAACATGTTTTATGTTTTTCCTCCTCTAGAAACCACACCTGGACTATAGAAACCACACCTAGACTATAGAAACCACACCTGGACCTGCCATTCTGTGTTCGTCTGTTTCTCCTTCCTGTCCTCTCAAACCAGTCGGTCGAAGCAGATGGCCGCTTGTCCTGACTCTGGTTCTGCTGGAGGTTTCTTACGGTTAAAAATAGTTTTTCCTTTCCACTGTCTCCTTTGTGCTTGCTCAGGATAAGAGACTGTGGTGAAATGAAGATTTAACATATTCTTCTGCTTCCTTAGATAGAGAACTTTACTAATTGTTTTTTAATAATGTATATAATCGTATATGATGCATATAATGAGTCCTCGAGGCTCAATGGGATTAACCTGTTTAAATAAAGGTTGAATGAAGTGTATATAATCGATCTACAGAAGACACCATCTCTCTGTGGTCCACACTGCTCTCACTCACCTGGAGCAGAAAGACTCTTACTCTTATGCTCTTTGTGGACTTCACGTCTGCCTTCAACACCACGACCCCCAAACCCTGATGGACAAACTAGTCACACTAGGACTAAGCCTCTCTCTACGCAACTGGGTACTAGACTTCCTAACAAACAGACCACAGTTAGTGAGGATCCACAACCTCTCCTCCTCCACCATAACCCTCAGCACTGGCTCTCCTCAGGGATGTGTGTTGAGCCCCCTCCTGTTTACTCTGCTCACGTATGATTGTGCAGCTACCCATCCAGGCTGTCACATTGTAAAGTTTGCAGATGATACAGCGGTGGTGGGATGCATCACAAACAATGATGAGTCCAGCTACAGGCAAGAGGTGGAACACCTGGAGAGCTGGTGCAAAGAGAATAACCTTCACATCAATGTGAAGAAGACAAAGGAGATGATTGTGGACTTCAGAAGGACCAAAAACACCTACACCCCCCCTGACAATAAGAGGATCTGCAGTGGAAGTGGTCTCCAGCTACAAGTACTTGGGTGTACACATGAATGACAACCTCAGCTGGAGCAACAACACCACCAGCCTGATGAAGAAAGATCATCAGAGACTCTACTTCCTCAGGCGGCTGAGACGAGCTGGTCTGGAAGCTCAGTCCTCACCTCCTTCTACAGGTGTGAAGTGGAGAGCATCCTGTGCTCCAGCATCAACGTGTGGCATGGAGGCTGCACAGCTGCAGAAAGAAAAGCTTTGCAGAGAGTGGTGAAGGCTGCACAGAAGATGTTGGAGTCAGTCTCCCCACCATCACAGACATCTACACCTCCAGATGCAGGAAGAGGGCCACCTGCATCATGAAGGACCACACCCACCCAGCACACACACTTTTTGCCCCGCTCCCCTCAGGAAGGAGGTTGAGGAGCATTAAGTGTAGAACCACTAGACTGAGGAACAGCTTCTACCCTGAGGCTGTTAGACTCATGAATCTCTAACCAGAATAATCACATCATGTTGCTGCTGATCTGTTTCATGTTGCTGCTGATCTGTTTGATGTTGCTGTGTTCATTCATCTGCTCACACAGACTCATGTTCGTGCTGCTGTTCGGCGTATTGTGTTTAATGTTTTTATGCTACTAGTGCTTAGAGTATTTTTAGTTTGTTTTTCTTAGTTCATATCTTAGATCATATCTTATCATTGTTTTTATTTTACATTTTATCGTTGGATGTAACATAATCTCGTTCCACCACATGTACCACGTGAGGTGTGAATGACAAATCTCTCGGACTCCGATATGATGTGAATGTTTCTGTTCAGTCCCTGAGACGACTTCTGTTGTGACTTGGAGCTGCAGAAATAAACTGAACTGAATTAACTCAATCATAGACCATCTGCTTTCAGTTAGCAGCTTTATTTCACTTTATATTAAGGACAAACTTTATGTTTTCTTGTGTAAGTGAGGAACTTTAAAGACCCCAAAGAAATCGAAGCTCGGGGGGAGTGGGGAGAGTTGCAGAGCAGAACAAAGGCAACAGCGACTGCTGCTCGTGTCCTGAAGGGATTTCCCTCGTCTTCACTTTGGTTCAGGACACGGTTCTTTTTGTTCTACGGTACTCTGTCAGGCTAAAGAGAACTGTGTCTCTGTGTGGCTCCTGCGTTTCCTGCAGCTTGACAACACAACTTGATTTCTGCTCTCTTCTGAATTAAGCAATCTGCACCTCAGAGGTGGGACCCGTTGCCGTGGTAACCACCTCGACTGTTCCGACAGATTTCTATGAAACGAAAACGCCATTTTCATAGTATTACTGTCTGCGATGCATGCTCACAACGCAGTATAAAGCCTGGGATTCCTTGAAGGAATGCATATCACCCGCCGCCTTTCATGCCAGAGATTTCAACTAAAATGGAGAAAATGCATTTCTTGCAAAAATGCTGCGTGAACGCTTAATGCTGAAAGCTGCTGAAGAAGCTGAAAGCTGCTGAAGAAGCTGAAAGCTGCTGAAAATGTTTAAACGCTAAACTGTTAATGTGAGGTGAATGTGAACAGCTGACATTTGCTGTTAGAATGAAATAAAGAAAGAGCTGAAATTAACTGAAAACGAGCTGAAAGGAGCATAAACCAATTAGAAAGAAGCACAAAGGGCAGAAGTGAGCAAATAAAGGCAGAGGAGTTACTAAAAGTATCAGAAAAATACTTTTAAAAATGCTGGAAGTAGCATAAAAAGCTAAAATTAGCAGGAAAAAGCTGAACTAAAACAAAAGGTGAAATGAACAGTGAAGGGTTGTAAACAGCACAAAGGCTGTGAAGAGATTTCATGTTCAATAAGAAAAACATGGCCGACAAAGATAACAATTTAAAAAAATTTAAAGTCAGAGAAGGAATGTCCTGAATGAGCCGAACGTTTCGATGTATGAATTGTTGAAATAACAACGATTGCAGAACAAGTTAGATGCTGAAGGATTTAAAAACATCCACGCTAATAAACTACGAAGAGACGGAGTTTCAGCTCAACTACGGTACGATCTCGTGGAATATTGGACTGATATCCATGAAACGTGTCGGAGCTCAAAGGATGTTTTGAGGATGACCCCCAGCTACTACCACACCACATTTAACTCAACAGATTTAAAACTTACTGACAGTAAAGTCCAAGTCATCACCGCTGTCTGAAACCAAGTTTTCCGGCTCAACAAAGAGCTTTATGTGAAGCTGTTATCTCCAGGAATTATCCAGTACCGCTGCTTGAATTAGACCTGTTCCACTCCTGTTTGCAAGCCAGTAAAAACAGAACGACTGCAGAAAATCCAAACTGATAAAAAGACTCAACCGAAGCCAAAACCTGCTGATCTTATCGGAGTCCATCGTCCTTCACGCTAAAACAATCATGGCTCAGCTTCTCGGCCCGTTGGTCCACCTTCTACAAATGTAGGTTTTCATGCAACAACAGATTTCTGAAGTGTCTCTTGGCTCAGGTTCCCGGGTCGCAGACAAAGTCCTTGTCGAGGTTTTGACCTGTGACTTTTCACAATGACGAACCCACCCAGGTGAGGCTGAGGGTTCCTGAGACATGGAGTCACAGCGAAGGTCAAACTGACATTTATGGTCATGAAGATAATAATTATTTTATGTTTTAATGTAGAAACAAGTCACCATCATTGATGGTAGCCTCAGCTGCACTTTACCTCTGCAACCATTTATTAAAAATGTGCAGCCAACAAAACACAACATAGAGCTGTAACTGTCAGTTTTATAGATATTGAGCTAAAATTTGGTGTGGTAGTAGCTGAGGGTCATTCACAAATTACAACACATATTTTGAGTGACTGATCTCAAAACACTGCATGAGATCGTGCATCATTATGAAGATTTAATATAACAAACATGTTAGTTTTAAACCCTGGCATGTAATATTCATTATATTTGGGAGAACAGAAGATCTGCCCATCTATGTACTGTAGGTAATCTAATTGTCAAAGACCAGCAGATAAAAATTATTTAATCTCTGGTTCCGACTTGGACCAAGTTGAACTGAATCAGGTCCTTTAGCTGAAGAATGCAGTGACTGTGATCCCTAATTAATAATTTTGATGGTTTCATATTTATTTTTGCTGCTGGTTGTCACAACCCAGCAGTCAAACATGACTTCATTTAAATGTACAGAAAAATACAAATTACCAGTGTATGTATTTTTTTTTGGTACCACTTCAAAATAAGGCTCCCCTTATAGATGCTAATAAATAGTTTATAGATTCGTTTTTAATTCCTCTATAAACATTTTATAAATCATTAATAACCGTTTATTATGCATTAATTAAGGTTGACATTGAGACAAAACTGACCAGTTTCTTGACAAATACTGATCCAAATCTGTTCATCTATATATTTCATCTATTAAACATTTCAGAATAAGTTACTACCTTGTAGCAAAATAAGCATTTGTAAATCTAATTTATTTAGCGTATAATATTGTACTTTATCACTGCATTATAAGCATCTATAACTATATCTATATAAAGTTATAGATGTATATATATCCTAGGTGGCAGATTTGGATCACTATTTGGCAAAAAAACTGTCAGTTTTGTCTCAATGCCAACCTTAATTAATGCATAATAAAGTTATTAATGATTTATAAAGTGTTTATAGAGGAATTAATAACATCTATAAGGGGAGTCTTACTATAACGTGGTACCATTACTGTTCCTCTGCTGTTTGTCTGCAAAAAACATGTGCTGCGTTACAAAATATGTTCCCAGACAGAAACATTTAGCTTTTCTCGGAGCAGAACAAACAAACAAACAAACTAATAAATGGAAAACTCCACAACGTGACAACAAATGTTGAGTCATAGACACTCACACACTCTCTCTCTCTCTCTCTCTCTCGCTCTCTCTCTCTCTCTCGCTCTCTCTTTTTTTCTTTCTTTCTTTCATTCTCTTTTTAGGGATAATTCAGAGTTATCAGTCAGCCTAACATGCATGTTTTTGGTCTGTGGGAGGAAACTGGAGAAAACCCACGCATGCACAGAGCGAATATGCAAACTCCGCCCAGAAAGGCCCCGTGCTGGGATTTGATCCGCTCTCCGACAGGTGGCAGCTCTTCCTACTGATCCACCGTGCCGCCCCTCTGACCATACCATGAAGTTCAAATAAGTGAAGTAAGAACGGGAGCATCACGCAGCAGCAGTAAAATGTACAAGTCCAACAAAGCAGACATAAATCTTCTCACCTTGACTGTTGCAGCGGGAGGTCTCCACCAGCCGGTTGTCCTGGTCGTAGCACACCATGGCCTGGTAGCGGTAGCCCTGTCCACACTCCTTAATGTCGCCCTGGACCTTCATCCCCATGGTGCTCTCCACGCGGCCTCCCTCGGGCAGGATGCAGTCCGACCACTTCCCCACCGGCTGGGCGTTGTACTTATCGCAGGGGCAGTACTGCGTCTCACTCAGAGGGTACATCTGTGTGTTTTTGCACTTGTCCTTCTTCTTGCTCCTCCCTGAGGAGTGAAGGTGGACACACATGAACATAAACCTCCTCGTTACGAGATCTTCAAGTCTCCCGACACCAACACAGAGTCACCATAAAATGCTGGGCTTGTTTTGAGGGTCTGGACATGCAACTTGTGTAAAATGTAAATAAAAACTGGATTCAGTGGTTTGTAATATATTATATATATTATATATATTATATATATATTTATTCACAGTGGAACATGATGAACCTTCAAACAAAGAAATCGTAACTTCTGTTGTTGAGAAAATAAGGTCATTTAAATTTTGTGGCAGCAACACATCTCAAAATGCTGTTCCAAGACCATGTTTCTGAACGTGAAGCATCTCCTCGTCTTTTAACAACAGTCCAGGACCCGAGTAGACCAGATGTCCAGTTTTTGGACGGGCATGTTGTCCCATTCTGGTCTGATATTCTAGCTGTTCAACAGTCCTGGGTCTCCTTTGCTAGACAGATGTTCTAAAATCTGTAGGTACTTTTCTGCATTGATGGAGCCTTTCCAGATGTGTAGAGGCACCAATGCACCCCCATACCATCAGAGAGTCTGGGTGCTGATGACAGCCTGGATGGTCTTGCTCCACCTCAGTACAGAGGACTTGGTGTACAAACAGAATTTAAACTTTTGAATTATCTGACCACAGAACAGTTCTTCACTTTGTTTTAAACGAGCTCTGGTCCAGAGGAGACGGCAGCGGTTCTGAGTGGTGTTCACATCTGGATTCTTCTTTGTATGATAGAGCTTTAAGCACCACTTACGGATGAACTGTGTTTACCAACAACGATCTGTGGAAGTGTTCCTGAGCCCAGGCAGTGATGTCAGAACAGAACCAGAGCTGTGGCCCCTGAGGGTCCAAAGATCTCTGAGCTCAGAGGTTTCTCCAGACGCTGGAACTGTTTTGATGATACACCTGCAGATAACGGGACATTTGTTGAACAACTTTACTCTGAAATGGTTTTATTTTTTGGATACAGTTTCTCACAGACTGGTGACCCAGCCTCTTAAAGAAGCAGTCCTCTTAACGACTTGTTGCTAATTAACACATGTGGCTGCTCCTCCAGCTGTTTCTTATTCATACTTTTACAGATTTTTGTTGCCTCTGTCCTGATGTTTGAGACGTGTCACTGCCATCAAATCATCTTATTTTCTCAAAAAATGAGAAGCTGATTGTTTACTATGTTCCACTGTGATTAAAACGTGGAGTTATGAGATTTTCAAATAACGTCATTCGGTTTTCATTAACTATTATTATTATTATTATTACAAAGTCTCAAGTGTTTTGGAATGAAGGTTAAAAAAGCTGCTGTCCCAGTACATCTTTATGCTGGACACATCTGGTTTAAGATGACGCAGTTCTCATCAAGCCCAAATTCTCATCTCGGAGAAACGTTTCTTTTCCTGGCGGTCGATCATTAAGAGACGCTTCACATGCAAATCAGGACACGCGCCGACGATTTTCTGTCCCATTACCCAGAATACCTTTACCTGTTGTGTTTCCTTCTGGTTTTTTTTTGCCAAGTCTGATCTCCATCTGCAACCAGAGTTACTTTCTAATTGCATCTGAGCAGCATGCTGTAATTTGTGAAGATCACAATAAGTGACAGGCGGGAGAAAAGAACTCATTATGCTCCACACAATCATCCCCGTTTTCCACCCACTTCAACGAAATGACGCGCGGCCGCTCGGCTCTGGCTAACCCTTCACAGAAAGAGGGAAACTGTTCTTTTATTTTGAAACTAACCGGCGATTGTCTTGTAATGTTCACATGTATGGATTTGAGGAATATCTGAATTTAAATCTCCAAATAGCCAGATCTTTGATAAGAAATGCTTCAAACAGATCTGCTTGAAGTTTCACACAGACTTTGTGAGAAGCTCCTGCAGAGGCTTCCCGTGCGTCATCTGACTCGAACGTGACGCACAAACAGAAACTTTCTGATCGATGAGAAAAGCAGACGGGTTTGAGTTGCTGGTCCGGTCCCACAGCGACACCGTTTGTCTTCCAGCATCACCCGTTACCGTTGAGCTGCAGAGCAAACAAGCTACTTTGTGAAGGGCTTCACAACAGCTCACTGTTGGAGCTGCCCCCCCTCCACCCTCACCTATCAATGCTCTCTTTCTGGTGCGGACCCCCACGCAGTCAGCTGTGCAGGACGAGAACTTGGACCAGTTGGTCAACTGGCAGTCGTCCTGGCAGGGGAGCTGACAGCGCTGAGTGATGGCGGGCATGGCCTTGGCGGATCTCAGACACTCGCTGATGTCGGCCTGCGTCCCGTCCAGCTGGCGACAGGACACCGCTGGGACGACCACATGAGGGAGGGACAAAAAACAAAACGCTAAATTAGAAGCCAACAATTTCCAGTCAGGTCATCTGGACAGTTTTTTTTTTTTTGTGCTGAAACGTTTCACCTTCCATCCAGAAGGCTTCATCAGTCAAGGAAACACACAACACAAAACTGACTCTTCCCCCAACAGCTTACTCCAAAGTGGAACAAACCAGTTATGTTGGTCTAAAAAAGTTAAATCTGGTCCTCTGGACATTTAAAAAAACAAAACAAAACAAAGCAAATCAACAAACAGTTATGTTGGTGCTAAGATGGTGTCTCTGGTACGTCCCCTCCACCGGTGCCGGCCCTCTCCCTCGTCGACAGTCAAACTGGTTCAAAACCAACAAAGTCCATGCTCATGTTGGATTCTATACCTGGATTATTGAGCATGGACTTTGTTGGCTCAATTAGAATAATTCATGTTTATTGGTTGAACAGACTGATTCATTTTATTTATCCATCCATCCATCCATTATCTTTACCCGTTTATTCCATTTTGGGTCACGGGGGTCACTGGTGCCCATGTCCAGCAATCACTGTGCGAGGGGCGGGGGACACCCTGGACAGGTCTCCAGTCCATCACAGGGACACATAGAGACAAACGAGACAAACAACCATTCACTCTCTCACTCACACCTAGGGACAATTTTAGAGTTACCAATCAGACTAACATGCATGTTTTTGGTCTGTGGGAGGAAACCGGAGCACCCAGAGAAAACCCACGCACGCACGGAGAGAACATGCAAACTCCACCCAGAAAGGCCCCTGGACCGGGGTTTGAACCAGGGACCTGCTCACTGAGAGGCAGCAGCTCTACCAGTTGCGCCACCGTGCTGCCCTCATTTTATTTAGTCTACTTCTAATTTAGTTTGGTTTAAAAAGAACTTCTTGCATTTGATTTTATAAAGAAAACAAAACTTTCTTGCATAATCTGGTGTAAAATCAAAAGTTTGTGTCACAATAGTGATTTAAATTTAAGCACAAGATTAACGCAACAATGTTTTATTTATAAATTCTTCTGAGAATGCTGTGAAATGAGTTAAATTCTAATTTTTTCATCTTTAAAACTCGTCTCAGTTTATAGAAACAAGCAGGCGGTTCATCATACACCTGTTGACGAACTGTCATAATTCAGAACAATGAGCTGGACAAACAAAGGAGGACATTTGACCTTGATTTGTGACCTTGAAGCAGAAGTGGTGAAAAGTGTACCAGATGCTCCATCTAGTGATGATGCTTAGGTGTTTCAAGTTTCATGACATTTTCTTGAGCGGATCGGAGGTTATGGTCTGAGAAAGAGAAAGTTTACGTACGTCTTTGGACGGTCGTCTAAAAAAGGTTTTACGTGTAGAAAATAAAACAGCATTTAAATAATTTGCTCCTCCGGTTAGGTGGATGATGTCATTGTATGAAGCTTCAACCACAAGATATCCACTGAAGTTTAGGTCAGAATCCTTCCAGTTACGTCATGACTTCAGAAGAGGATTATGGCCGGTGCCATTTTTCTTTTCCTTAATTCTGAGAAAAAAGTCAGAATTCATCTAATTCTGACTTTTTTCTCAGAATTAAGAAAAAAGTTTTTGCACCATGGCTGTAATCCTCTTCTGTAAGAACAAACTACAATCTTGTAAAGACAATAAAAAAGTGAGTTTTTAAATGCAGATGTGGATTTTAAAACTAAATCAGCTGTTTTTAATCTTTGTTGGTCTTGGTAGTTTTGCTGACATTGTATTTTTAGTAGTGAATTTCTATTTTGTGATCTTTTAGTTAAGAAGCTTGTTTGACACAAACGCCAACTGTTTCCTACAAAACAAAAATAAATAAAATGCCAGTCCTCGTCTGTAAAAGAAAAATAAATAAGAGACTGCGTAAAAAATGTGTAGATAATAAAAAAAACACTTAATTTTTTTTATTTTACAGACGAGGACCAGCTTGAAAAAAGTAAGGAACAAAATCCACACATTATTTCCCCTCATATTAGTAATTAATGTATTTAAATTACTAATTCATAAGCAAAGTTTGTGAACTGATGCCAACTTCCAGATGTTTTTTGTTGACCTACAGAAACAGCTGAACTGACTGAAAACAGGTCAACGACGGGGAATCGGACAGTCCAACGATGAGGATGTATACATTTGTATTTAGGCTCATATTTATTGGATAAACTGCAGATTAAAGAGATTTGTTGACATTTAATGTGTACCTGCATTTCAAACGTGCATATCAGTTTATCTGGAAAACTACCGGAGTAAACTCTTTCAAACTGCACCGAGTTCAGGATAACAGAGTTTTTTTGTTTGGTTTCATGGTTTGCAATGACTTCCTTTAAATTATAATTGTAGTTCATTAGTTCAGCTTCTATTGAAATGATGAGTTATCCATTCAGTAACGCACAGAAGCAACAAAACCTTTTGACGACAGAAATGACTGATCTGCAAACATTTCTCGTTACAACGATGTGGCAGTAAAAAAAGACTTCAAACGAAGATTTAAGGAGATAATTAAGATAAATAAGCTGTTTGTGGTCGGTATCTGAAGCAACCAGCAACTCAGTTGTTTGAGGCTGAAAATGTTTTTTACTGACTGAAATTTGTAGCTGAATCTGAAATAATTTTACATCAATATTAAAAAAAAAGTCAGCGTTTCTTAATTTATTTATTTTCCACCCACAGCTGGAGTCACACTGGATTTGCTGCGTCTTGAAAGTGGGAAGTCAGAACTCAGAATCGCATCAGGGTAAAAAATAAAAATCACTGCCTTCTGGTTATTTTTTTTAAACTAACATGAAGTTCAGTTTGATAAAGAGGCAAACTTCAGGAACTTTGTCACGCATCTACGTGAAGCTTTCTTCTGGAGTTTCAGCGTTTTTCCTCCTCACGTGACTGGCGGACGCTCTGTCGACGTTTCTTACTGAACGCAGCGTCAACGACCTGCGACGATGAAGCGAGCTGCAGGCCCAGATCGTGTTTCCAGGAGTCCCGTGTGCAGCCTTTATTTTTAAAGGCAACGTTCCGGTAAATCATTTTACTGATATAAAAGTAGATGCAAGCGTGCGGCAGCAGTTTTATCAATACGGGACAGTAAAACATCTGAATCGCAGGTTTGTGGCTGAAAACGTGACAGAAATTTAAATTTTTATCAGTTTGATGAATTAGATCAGGTTTGACGGTGCATGATTTACATACAGTGCTGTGTAAAAGTCTTAGGCTGCTGGGAAAACAGTCTGCAAAGTAAAAATCTAATTTATGATATTTGATGTGATCATGCATGGATTCTCTTCAGAACAGCACAAACCTTGAACACCTGTACAAAGTCAGGATGGTTTTCTGACCCCAGAGCAGCAGAGATGTAACTAGAGACAGGGCTGGAAGAAGGAAGGTGAAGCCATAAATAACATCCTTGTTGCAGCAGGATTTTTAGGTCCTTCCTCGCCAGATGAGACATTTTTTGACTAAATAAGAAAAATATACTTGGATGTTGATTAATATAGATTTTACTTTGCTGTTGTACTTTTAAATATCCATTTCCCTCCATTCATTTATTTTCAGTTAGTGATTTAAATGATTGACAGCCTGTTGGCGAGTCAAGAGGTGTGTGGGCGGGGCTTTCGTATCGAGGTGGTATGACACTAGTTCGCTCCAAAAGCACACGACCCATCACATAAACAGACATTCTGGCTTCACTGAAGCACAGGATGAGGCATCTTTAATAACGTTGACGGCTCTGATATTAACTGGATCCAGTGAGTCTGGGATCATCGGAGAGGAGGGGCAGGGGGCATCGCTCTGGTGTTTTGATCAAAACACGTCATCGATGTTTGATTAAGACTTCGGGAAAACGTGTCGGCTCCTGCAACAGTTGTTTAATAAATCTCCAGTTTAAAAAGTGAAAAATGAATCTGCTCGGTTCAGACCAGATCTCTCAGGAGGTTTAAAAACAATTATTAACGGAGCGGACACAAATGCACCTCGAAATACCACGAGTCAATTAGCTTTTAGCGGCGGCGTCCTGTTCTTTGTTCCTTGGGTGAAGCTCGAGCTGCTGCAGCGCTTCATTTTCTCGTGACGCACACCGTCTGCAGCGCTGCACCGTCACAGAGAAATCAATCTCCAAGCACATTTTTGTCAAACCCCGTGAGCTCTGCCGTTTGGAAAGCCTCTCTGTGCGTGCGTGCGTGCGTGCGTGCGCAGCCTGGAGGGGCGAAAAGCTCTCAGTTTGTGTGTTTAATGGAGCCACTCCAGTGTTTCCTCTGTGCAGGTAAACAAGAGAAGCCTGGCAGGAAATGCACATCTTTTCTTGATTCAAAGTCAAAAACTGAATTTCTGGCGTTTAGAGAAACTAGAGGTGGAAACACGAGCAGGGAGGCTCACCGCGTGTCAAACTGTTGAAACGCTGCAAAATAAAAAATCAAATCTGAAAACCATGTGGTGAATCTGAACTGGACCTCGGAGAAAATAAAAACGTCTTAATGCAAGTGAGTGAAAAGGTTAAAGGTCTCATGTCAGAGTTCAAAGTGAGATCATCTCATGAAAGGTCCAAGTTACGATTGTTTTGGTTCAACTCTTGAGTTTATGTGATGTGACGTGTTGAGCATGACTCTCAGCTACTACCACTCACAATTAAGTCTCAGTGTCTGTAAAATCAACGAGGCTAGAGTCACTTTGCTGCTGGCTATGGTTGATTAGCCGTGGCAGCCATCTTGAATTGGGTATCTTCCACAAGTTCATCAGTTATAGATGCACACTCAGTGATTCCTTTCAGAAAGCTTCTTTAAATCCTTCTGGTGGTTCATGAGATATTTTGCTAACAGACAGAGTTGTCTACAATAGTTAAAGACAAAGCTCTAAACAGATCTTGATTGATGTTAGTGCTCAGGACATAACGACCACGCCAGGTTTTAGTTCAATATCCGTAAAATTTACAAACATTTTTAGTATTTGCTAACATTGATTGCTTTGCTGTGGCGGCCATCTTGGTTCGATTTATTTAGAGAAGTGAATCCGTTGCACCCGGTGTTTACTCTGAGAATTTCATTAAAACCCTTTAAGTGGTTTATGGAATATTTTGCTAATTGTACAAACACACACAGAAGGAAATTTAAAAAAGATAAAAATCTGAAACCATTCGATGAAATCCTAAATGGACCTTGTAGCGAAATAAAACAATTATTTTCTCTATTAACACAAGATTGTGCAGAAGAAACATGAAAAATAAGAACTAATCAAAGTTTCCTGTTAAAACTGGTCATCCTGCGTCACCCCGTAAAAAACTTGTAAACTTCATGCTACAGTAAGAAATGAGCCTTAAAGTATCCGTCACCTCTGCACACGTGAGGTGTGCGCGTGCATGTGTGCGTGCATGTGTGGTGCAGGAGCCTATAAATTCAACCACGAGACACGTTCGATTAAAATTGCATGACTCCGGCCTTAGGTGGTGAAAAAGAATCTCTTGAGGCTCACGATGAGATGTGAAAACGTTTCCTCAAAAATAAAACGAAACTTTGGAGACTTGAAAGACAAACCGTCGATCTTCAGGTGAGCGTCAGTTCAACCATGAAATCATCTCTAATCTGCAGCAGCACAACATCTGACTCATCGTTCGGCTCGGAGGAGAGGCGGGTCATTGCGTCATACCTCTGGTCTGAAGTCCTGGTCCGCAGGTCTCTTGTGCACCAGGAGAGTCCTTTCGGAGAGACCAGGGCACCAGCTGGCACTTCCTCCACTTGTGGGTTTTCCACCTAAAACGAGTCGAGACGTTTTGATGCAACAACAGTTTATTAATCTTAAAATCTAATTTAGAAAAACTGCAAACTGGATGTGCAGGAAACGTTTCTGCACCAACAGGACTGTGATGTTACAATAAACTGTAGCATGAAGAAACACTGAAAGTCACGATACGTGCACGGACTGTTCAATTGGACCTGACAGACCAACGCATTATTCTGTCTTTTAACCATCAGCCTGACTAACGAGGAGCCCACCAGCAGATGGACCAACAAAGAACCCTGATCTAAGTCAGCCTGGGATTACTCGAAGGAACCTCTGGTCCACAGAGAGGCCGTGAAAGGGACCAAAGTTCTGTCTGCTTCTGAAGGAGGCCACGACGACTCCATCTGCTGATCTGAAGGAAGCTGCTTCTGATCATCAGCTTTTCTTCAGGTTTACTTCTAAACTGATCATTGGTTCTCCAGGTTCTGCAAAGGGATTTACAGTATCTCGTTCGCGCTCTCTCTCTCTCTCTCACGCCGTTTCTCACGCTCTCGGTCTCTCTCTCCTGCTCATTCTTGCGCTTTCTCTCTTGCACGCTCTCACTCTCTCTCTCCTGCGCTCTCTCTCTCTCCGTCTCTCTCTCCTGCGCTCTCTCTCTCCTGCACTCTCTCTCTCTTCGTCTCTCTCCTACTCTCTCTCTCTTCGTCTCTCTCCTGCGCTCTCTCTCTTCGTCTCTCCTGTGCTCTCTCTCTTCGTCTCTCCTGTGCTCTCTCTCTTCGTCTCTCCTGTGCTCTTTCTTCATCTCTCTCTCCTGCGCTCTCTCACTCTCTCCATCTCTCTCCTGCTCCCTCTCTCTCTTCGTCTCCCTCTCCTGCGCTCTCTCTCTCTCTCCTGTGCTCTCTCTCTCTCTCGTTCACTCTCTCTCGCTCTCATTCTCTCGCTCTCATTCTCATTCTCTCACTCACTCTCGCTCTCTCACTCTCGCTCTCTCATTCTCTCACTCTCTCTCGCTCTCTCACTCTCACACACCAGGACATTTCGAGATGCTGCAGGGCGACCGCCTTATTCTTCTGGGCCAAGACGTTTAATTCAGAGTTTTAAAACTCGTCTATTAAACTCTGAACTCTCAGTTAATTCTGTACAAGAGCTGCGTCGTCCCGTCCTCGCCGTGCCCGTTAATAACTGCGTTAACTGGAACGTGCACGTCTCTAAACGCACGGCTGACGCTCTGAGAGGTTTTTGCTCTCCTACCTGAATCCTGGACAGACTTTTGGGACCTCGCAGTCCCTCTCCTCTTCCAGCACCTCGGGGCACTCCTGTCCTTCGTTGGAAGGCATCTGGATGACGAGACGTTTTCGAGACTGCTTCCTCTTCACAGCATCACCAGCTGAAACAGAACCATCAGAAAAAGTCTCAACTTGAACTGGACAAGCTGCACGTCCCACATCAACAGGAGTTAAATCCCATCATTCCTCGTTATTGACTCAAATACTTGTTATGTATATATTCTAGCTCTCAGTGGAGGCCCTGTACAATGTGTGGAGAGGTCCTCCGGTAATTTATTAAGATGAAACGAGTCTCTGGGTGGTCATGAATCCTGCTGACGACCTTCGTAAGTCCATACAACTGTCGACACAAGGTGACAATATCAGCGCCGTTAAATTAAGCAGCGCAGCTTTGGTCCAGCTCATCCAGCCCGGTGAGGATATCAAAATATGACCGGGACTGAGCTTCTGTCGTAAATCAGCTGAACGTTTTTCTGTCTCTACAGCTGCCTAAAGGCCGCCCAACTAAAATAACCTCCACTGAAAATGTTTTTCACTGGTTGACACGTGCAGCTGCAGGCGAGCTGGTTTTACTGAAGGTCATCCCAGAGGTCATCTTACACATCTGTCAGGTTTTGTTTAATGAGATGTGAGGCAGCAAACGTGTCGAGCCCATTTTAAAAATGCAACAGTTTCACTTTGGACAAGTTACAAAGCACCAATTAAAATCTGCTATAATCACATTAGGACCAGTAATTATAATGGTTTCAGGCCATTTAAAACAGAAGCGTCTACCAAGAACGTTTTGCTAATGAATATGATTCTGTCGAGCCGTGACGCGAGCGCAGCCAGACAGGAAGTTCTACCTGCGTCGCAGGTCCCCGGACATTCGGTCCAGTCGCTGAACGGGGTGACGATGCAGTCCTTCTTGCAGGGCAGCTGACACGACCGCATCGTGCTCGGGCGAGGGGCGTCTGGACACCTGGACAAACCAAACAGAGTGTCCACTTTTACAGAGCTCGAAGTGGAGAGGGTGAGCAGCTTTAAATACCTGGACGTCCACGTCACGACCTCACCTGAACTCTGAACACCACACATCTGCTTAGGAAGGCGCAGCAGCAGCTGCCCTTCCTAAGCAGCTGATGAAGTTTGACGTGTCACCAAAGATCTTCAGCAACTGTTACAGCTGTGTGGTGGCGAGCATGTTAACCAGCAGCACCACGGCCTGCAGAGGGTGGTGAGGACCACTGAGAAGGTCTGGAGGACCCTCTCTGCAGAGCATCTACCCCTGCACCACAGGAAGGCTGCCTCCATCCGTAAGGACCCACCCGCTCACAGCATGGACTCTCCACACTTCTGTCCTCAGACCAGAGCTACAGACGCGTGAGCTGCAGGACGTCCAGATTTAAGAACTTCTTTCCAAGTGATCAAACAACAGACTAAACCTAAAACATGCTCAACGTCACCTGACTGCACCTTGTTTGTTACAGCTACCTTACGTGCTGCATATTTGACTTTGTTTGCACTTTTGCCTTTTCCCCTATATTTTTTTATTTATATGTAAATATTTTTGAACAGCTGGTTGGAGTCAGCTGATGAACTTTGTTGGATTTCCTACCTGGATTATTGAGCAAGAACTTTACTGAACAGAAACATTCATGTAAAAAGTCCAGTTAGTAAAAGTTGTCTTTCTAAAGAAGCAGCAGGTTGTGTTGAATCTCCACTTCATCACAGTCTCTCATCCTGCGCAAGCACAAAGGAGACAGTGGGAAGAAAAACTACCTTTAACAGGAAGAAACCTCCAGCAGAACCAGCTCAGGACGAGCGGCCATCTGCTTCGACCCACTGGTTTTGTTCAGATCTGTCCAGACCTGCTGGGCCTGCGCTCCGCAGCAGGATTAGTGGCTTGCAGAGGTAAGATGAGGTCTGGGGTTTCTCCAGCCACCTGAACCAACGTGCAGTAGAGCAGGTTGGTTTCTAAATATGGGAGTAACGTGTAAAACCTCTGCCGGATTAAAGAGCTTGAGAATGAAAACAGAAGAAAGGCAGCTTTGGTTGAACTCTTAAAGTGTTTTCTCGGTTCTTTTCAGGCTCTGGAGAACATCAGAACTTTCTGTTAGAGATCTGTAGAAGGGAGTGTTTGCATAAAAACAATTTTTTTTTTAAAGCTGCTTTGGAAAATGTGTTTTTCTTTTTTAAAATACTTAATGAACTTTCCTCATACAGAAAATAAGAGCACAACTGTTTATTACTCACAACATTATAGTAAACACAAATGTGTGTTTCAAGATTCATTCACTTTATAAAATTAAAACCACTGAACAAAAACTTCTAGTTTAGTTTTGATGAAACAAATAATCAAGGAAATTATTCTAATAGTTTAAATATAGGACAAGGAATGCTTTCAATTCAATTCAGTTTATTTCTTCAGCTCCAAGTCACAACAGGAGTCGTCTCAGGGACTGAACAGAAACATTCATCTATAAAATAATAATTTAACAGAAACATTCAAATATAAAATAATAATTAACAGAAACATTCATCTATAAAATAATAATTAAACATTATTTATCTGAGGAGCAGCTTTGAGTTTAACTCCATCACTGAACTCTCATCTTGAACAAGCATGAAGGCGACAGTGGAAAGAAAAACTCCCTCATGAGGAAGAAACCTTTAGCAGAACCAGGATCAGGACAAGAGGACCATCTGCTTCGACCGGCTGGGTTTGGTAGGAATAGATACACAATGGCAGGTCAAGACTCGCATGTTTAGACATAGTAGCAAATGAAAACTATTCAATTTTAACAATTCATTTAAGGACATGAGGTCAGTTTGTCCTCTAGTAGTCTAAGTCTATAGCAACAACAAGCCAACCTTAACTATAGGATTTATCAAAAAGGAAAGTCTTAATCCCAGTCTTAAACTGGACAATGTGTCAGTCTCACGGACAGAAACTGGAAGTTGGTTCCACAAGAGAGGAGCCTGAGAACTGGAAGATCTGCCTCCCATTCTGCTGCTGGAAACTCTAGGAACCACAAGTAAACCTGCAGCCTGAGAGCGAAGTGCTCTGTTAGGAAAATATGGAACAATAAGAACTGTAATATAAGATGGAGCTAGGTTGTTGAGAGCTTTGTAGGTTAGAAGTAAGATTTTGAATTCTATTCTGGATTTGACAGGGAGCCAATGGAGAGAAGCTAAAACTGGAGAGAGATGATCTCTCCCAGTAACTCCAGTTAAGACTCTGGCAGCAGCATTTTGGATCAACTGAAGACGTTTTAAAGAAGTATTTGGACACCCAGATAATAAACCATTGCAATAGTCCAGTCTAGACGTGACAAATGCATGGACCAGTTTTTCTGCATCATCTTTAGATCAGATGTTTCTAATGTTGGTGATATTACGCAGGTGGAAGAAGGAGGTTCTAGTAACGTTTTTAATGTGGGGGATAAATGGGCTTAATGTTTATCGTCTCCTGTCCCAAAGTGAAAACAGGAAATTGGAATAATCATTTGTTCACCTGTGCATGTTGTGAGCATGATACCTTGAAGAATAAGTGAGATCGAGACTTCCATATTGACTTGTGGCTACATCTAGGAGAAGGAAAGTTTCATTTTGAAATTTAGTTAGCCACGTCAAAATCCAAGATGGCCACCACCATATGTTTATGTGTGCGTGTGCGTGTTTGTGTGTAAACCAGCTGCCTCGATCATTTGAGGAAACTGCTTTCTAGTTTTTATATTGCTCAAAAGTATAGTTTCCTAAAATGATCACGGTGGCCGGAGATTCATCTACGGGGGCCAAGGCCACCATAGGCCACCCCCTGGCTCTGCCAATGTGCCTGGTGGTGGATAAATGTGTCGTCCACTCACCAGGATCCGTCACTCCACGCTGCCTCAGACAAGAAATGTTCTTACACACTCTCGCCCACTTGAATATCTTTCACGTGCACTACTTGTTGTGTTCCAGTCCAGAAAAACATTCATCTCCAAACTACAAACTATTCAAACCCCTCAGGGACGGGGTCCAAAACATGCAGGGTTCATTATTGCTCCCGACAAAAAGGCGGGCGATCATGTTTGATGATGGCGGCCGTAGCTGATCGACATCAGCAAACACTGAAATGGCTACGAGTCGGTCGGTTTACAGAGGATGAACTAAATGCTGGCGTGGTAGTAGCTGAGAGTCATCTTAAACACAAACTTTAAGCACCAACTGGTCCTTCATTTTAAGGTTTGACCTAAATGGTTACTACTCTGTTATTTCTCAAAATAACATCTTTGTTTAGGAGTGCGAGGCGTTTAGTTTAATCTGTAGTTGTTTCAAACATTTTGCATCTTTAGGTAGTTTTGGGTTCAGATTTACTGATATTTGATGTTTTCTTAAGTTTCGTTTGCTCTACTTCTTTAATTTTACCCGATACACAGAAGAATTCATTTTTCTTTAAAGATAATATATTCAGCTATGGTGCAGAAACCATAAAAGTCTGGGTTTAATAACCATTTGCAGGAACGCGCGGCTTCATGGATTCTGTCTGAGCACACAGTGTAATTACAGAGACAATCTGGGGTAATAAAAACCTCCATAATCTATGCACGGCACTGCAGGATGAATGTAAACTATCCAGACAAAAGATGCTCACGTCCCCCAGCAGAACAACGCAGGCCTCAAAGGAGATGTTATTTTACGATCACGTCCATCTGAGGAGCGCAGCTCGTCAGACGAGCCGAGCGGCCTCAGGATATAAACGCCATATTTAAATGGATTCAGCTATCAGCGAAGAATAATCCCTTTGAAGCTGCAGAATATGGGGTCAGGCCAAGGTTTGTCAGGGCAAAGGTCATGGTTAATCTTCCATCATTTAAGCACCTTAGGTCCTCTGTGGGTACTATTAGGCCAAGATAAATGGGTCGTGATGGACCTGCTGGAAGTCATCTGGTAATCTCGTCTCTCTGGTCCAACACCGGCACGTTGCTGCTCCGCCTCCTCATCCTATGGCCAGTTCTACCATCAACTGGGTCAGGGTTGATGTTGCTGAGAATGAGCGTCCTCCTCGGGCGGGGGGGACTACACTCGTTAGCATGATAGCAGGCAGCACAAGGAGAGCTTTATTTTCAATACAGACAGAGTTAAATCCCAGTCGACCTCTCGCGTCTTCATAAAAGCAGGAGGACTGAGGCCCCCGTCCATAAAGAGGAGAATAAACAGAACAAGTGTCTCGCTTGAGGACACGTCAGTGGGAGGGTGCATCGTTCAGGGCCAGAGAACTGAAGAGCCAAACATGGTGTCTACGTCTGCTGCCGGTAAAAAGCAGGATTTAAATCCTTCACTCTGTAATCTGTGCTGTCTGCAGCTCTTCAGAGAAACGGAGAACAATAATACCTGATTAAACAAACATCGCGATCTAAATACAGTTTCAATGCACCGTGCACGTGAAACCCAACGGACGTCTTTAAGTGGCTAAGCTGCGTTGTTTTTCCCAACTAACGCCAGGCCTTTAAAACATTTATCAGTTCAAAGCTGCTCTTTTGTTTGTTTCAAGTTTCTTCTGCCTTAAAATAATTTAGCTGCAAGTTTTAAAAACAAAAACATGAAAATTTGACTAAATGGGAAGTTCAGCACAAATTGTAGGAGAAAGAAGTGCTTGATGAAGAGGAGAGCGTTCTTCATGAACCAGGCCTCGTCTCATAATTACCCTCCTCTTCATCAAACCAGCCCCAAGTATCGTTCTGTTGTTGCACGAGCTGCAGGCTGAGCTCTCCTCATCCCTTCTTTCTTCATCAGCCTTGTTGGAAAATGTGCTCTTATTTTCTTACAGCTGCACAGGACTGAGCCGAGAGGCCGAAATCCAAAGAACGATCAACTTGACGAGTTAAATTTTAATTCGCAGATTCAATCGGCTTCATCTTGGAGGGCTCGTTGCTCAACAAACTGCACGTCAAAGTGTTTTAAAGGCGGGGTAGAAAGACGGTGCAGAAGCTACTG